AGTCCTCATAATTCGGGCCGGAGAAGTCTTAGTGAGCCGGAAAAAGGTGGATAGAGGTGGGTGGAGGAGTGGAGGCCAACTGTCATCGGTGGGCGGGGCATGACCAAAGTGGGCGGAGTTTGCGACGAAAATTCATAACTCGGCTCCAAGAAGTCCGGAGACCGGGAAAAGGTGGATTGAGGTGGGTGAAGGAGTGAACCCCAATGTCATGAACTCCCCGTTCATGATGTTTATCATCGATCTCGCCTCCGTAAGATCGCCTGGGAAAAGAGGCGGATCGCATGTCTCGGCAGACTGTGTGTGTGGCGGATCCCCTGGGAGAGCGGCATGGCTGCGGCTGCGAGGTTACTGTAACCGCGGCTTCTTTGAACGTTGCTAAAGGAAGAGAGCTTTTGCGCTCCGACTGCGGCGGACCCGCATTAATACAGTACAAGTCCAATAGAAAAGCACGCTAATCCAATCAGTCCAGACAATCCAAACACATTTACAATTCAGTTCTTCCTTTACGTTTGTATCTTATTCGTCCTACTTTCCCATTATAACATTGGTCGATTTGCCTATTTTATCGTTGGTAGATTGGTAACTGCATTTTATTCCATGTTATTGTGCTTTTCCAAGAATAAACATGTGCAGCAACGCTTCTTGAATGGAACCACCAAACCTCACTTGGGAAGTGATGCGGCCCAAGAAATGGTGCATCGGCCGGGAATCGAACCGCAGGCCTTGCGGTGAGAGCGCAAAATCCTAAACCACTACACCACATCGGAGCGATACCAGCGAACCTTTGCACATGCATGCGCGCAACAAATAACAATACAGGGGACATACATTGCGTAACAGGTGGCATATCCATCCACACGACGCAGAAATCACGGAATGGAGTAGAATGCATCCTTTTTGCGCTGATAATTACTGCCTAGACATAACCCAACCAGATCGAAAATTCAAGATTCAATTTCCAGCAGAAGTAACACTTCACACATACAGGGTAATGGTTCGCTACAAGGGAACCTCGCGCGAGCATTTCCATTGGGGTTTGCCCTCCAAGCCCATTTTGTGAGCAAATTTCATGCACATTCTGCACATTAATGGTGACATACCCCGAATGTTGGCCACGAATAGCGATTGGTTTGGCCGCAATACTATTTTACATAATCCTACTCTCTTTTTATCTCACCTATAGCACAATGAGAAAACTCTACAAAGGAATTAAGTGCTTTTGCGGTAAGCTGAACTACTTTAAAACTTTGAGAAAATGGATTTCCAGAAAATGCCTTTCTCGGCATCATTCCAAAGAGTACATACATTTAACCGAAATTAAAGACCGCAGAACAGATAATTGGTGTATAGAGACGATAACACGATTTCTGACCATCATTACGCTCATTACATCACCAACCTTTGGATGCCAACAAACCCTACTGATTACGTCCTCTGTTTCCCAATGCAATTCCAAGGACAGAACGTGCAATAATGCAACTACCGTCGTCGCCAAATTTAACACCATGCAACCTGAACTGTGTTTACGCCTCCACCAAGAGGACAAACAAATACACCTTATGAAAATAACAATTCAAAAACTAATTTTAAGATGTCGAAAAGAGACTCTGTATTTCACTCGCAATACAGAAACCAAAGTAGAATATAGCAAGTGTCCAGGCAGGGGAACATGCACAGGCCTTAAATGTGCCAAATTTCACCCGACTCACTTATTCCAAGAGCTCGAAAGGGCAAATAACTTTACAGGAATCACATATTGTTCAGAATCCTGTGGATTCTTCGGATGTTCATGTGGATATCCATCATCGGGGTGCCTCTTTTACCGAATCTGTCACGTCCCCAAAGACGAAGACGTGTATGAAGTTTTCCAGTGCCCCTCTTGGCAGGAAACTATCAAATTCAAAATAGAGCAAACACATGGTGACAGAACCTATGCAGGAGAAATTAAGCCATATACAAAGCGACAATTCGGATTGATCGAAATCGAAATTGCACAATTTTTCTTCACACCAACTGCACTTCTCAATAAGCGCTTCATTACCAATCGTCAGGCTACAGCTTACTTGAACGATGAACGTCCAATTTAGCTACGCCTGCACAGCTAACTCCCAATATGATAACACATCCCAGTCCTGCGTTATAACAGATACCTGCAAATGTAACCCTGTAGAAAATGAAGTAAACTGTTACTGCACTCATAACAACATTTCCCAATCCAACAATTACAAAATCTTCTCCATTTACCAATTACAAACGAAATTATTATACTGGGAGTTGAAAAACTGCCCAGAATTCATACTTCTGCTATCGCGGTCCAATTAGCAATAAGGTTGACAACAAACACAACACAGATTCAGCAATATATATCAGAATTTCAATGCCACATTCTTCCAAAGGCCCTTACAGGTTGCTACAACTGCGTTAAAGGAGCAGTAGCAATCATTACATGTTCCGCGGACACAACGCAGGCCAGCACAAGTAACTTGTGCCACACAACAATTTGTGTTAACCTGCACAAAGGAAGGGTATGACAACCAAATCCAATTGTTCTTTAACCGCGCACGTGTTTCAGAACAATGCCGTGTCCAATGCAACAAAGACATCACAGTGTTCGAAATCAACGGAACTCTAAATTATGTAAACGGCATGAAACCGTTCTGGAAATTCACTAAACTTATCCTAAATAATGCCTACAGTGACGACTCAATAGAAATTAACCTTGAACTCCCAGACATCTTTCATTTTTTAGACATTTGCAAACATTTCTACATTTATACCATCGTCGTCCTCCTCCTTCTCGCATGTACAGTTCTTATCAGCATATCGAATCTTTGTGGTTACGGAAAAAAGCCGCGACCAGCCTCCTCAACTACAACATTTCCCTTCCCATACGCTTTTTGTGCCTTACGCATCACGACCATCTTGCCTCGACTTTGTTTCAAATTCATTCGATTTTGGCTTCTTTGCCCATTTCGTGTAGTTTATCATTTGTGCAAGCACTAACACATTCCATCTCGACCCTTAGTATAGGATACAATCTTCATACCAGATTTAATAACCATTTTTATCAGTACACCATTCTCTTCCATATTTTTCTAGACAATCATTCTACCATAATCTCATGTGTCTAACGCTGAATTTATGATAGTTTTCATCGTGATTCAACATTAATACAAACTCTTTCAGTATGGCGGATAACGCTAACGGTGATGGAGAAGAAGCTAAGAAGCCTTATGACGACCATCAGCCTCAGCAAGACCAAGGGAAATCCGAGGAACACATGGCCGTCATCCGAGGCAAGCTCATTCAACTCCGAGAGAAATTCTTCGTATAGCATACATTATACGAAGTTATAACGAAGAGGAGAAAGCCCAATCAAACTCAACAAAAGAAAAAGGAAGCTCATTTCACCTACACCGCCCAGTAAAGTTAATACATCTCCACAAGATTTTAATTCTAGTAAGGGACTCGTTTGTACCATCTCACAACAAGCAAAAAGCATCCAGAGTCAACTCGACGACGTCACGCTCGACATGGAACGAGTCTAGAACTTCAACGCCAATCTCGAGGAAATGCTCGCCGACACATGCCGAACAACATCATTCATGCGATCGACCGGCCTCTATCGATACCATGACGCTCTAGCCGAAACGAGCGTGAAAAGCATCAGACCGCAAACAAACACAGTCCCGAGCAGCGCCAGCGGCAGCTCCGGTGCCAGGCTCTTCAGGAGCAATCCGCCGTGAGAGTAAATTCGAATGACTGCCCCTTCTCGGTGAAAGCAACTATCGCCATTGGGAGTGCAAGAGTTTGGTTAGGCTATCGTGATAGGCTGGGCTCTCACTCAGAATGAAAAATGCGAACGTTGTCCACACTATAATAACCATTCGCTACATCTTTTCGTGAAAAGAATGCTTCGTTTTTATTGTCTCCAGCTAAGAGGGAAGCCGAGATGCATCGGCACCATTCAGCATTTTGCCCCCATAAGTTCCCATCTGGATCCGATAATACATGATCACATTCCACAATTCCACAAACTTCTTTGGCAATAATGTCTCCAGTATATTGCTTTCTTTCCATGCTCTCGATTTTTGTTCTGGTATTTTGCCGATTGCTTACTATCAACTGTCTGTGTTGGTATTTTGTCCATTGCTTTACTATAAATTCTCTTTGTTGGTAATTGCCCATTGTCACTATTAATCCTCTGCTTCAATGCGTTCATTTATTCAGCTATATTTCTCGCACATTTATATTTTAAGACTATTGTGACCTTTTTTCGGTGAAGTGGAAGTGTGGACTCACATTCTCAGTTCAAAATCCATTTCTTGGGACAATTCGAAATAGCCCATGTTAATATTGCTTATTTCAAGAAAAAGCCTTTGTCGGGATGAGGATGGCTGCGGGTCTCGAAAAAAGTCGCGGAGCGCATAAATCTCGCTGAGTGGCAGTGTCGTGACTCCGTCGATGAATGTTATCATCGATCTCGCTCGTAGGAGGGCGCCTGGGAAAAGAGGCAATCCGCAGATGTCATCGCGCAGATGTGGTGGTGGCGATCCCTGGGAGAGCGCGCAATGCTACGACTGACGAGGTTTACGTAACCGCGGCGTTCTGGCTTGAACGTTGCTAAAGGAAGAGAGCTTTTGCGCTCCGACTGCGGCGGACCCGCATTAATACAAGAAGTCAATAGAAAAGCACGCTAATCCAATCAGTCCAGACAATCCAAACACATTTACAATTCAGTTCTTCCTTTACGTTTGTATCTTATTCGTCCTACTTTCCCATTATAACATTGGTCGATTTGCCTATTTTATCGTTGGTAGATTGGTACTGCATTTCATTTCATGTTTAGTGCTTCTTTCAAGAATAAACATGCTCTGCAGCAACGCCCTTCTTGAATGCACACCACTCAAGCAACGGATTCCGTGAATTATATTCATGGTGAGCGGAAGGACTAACACGAAAGCACTGTTATAACGCATCAAAGTCTAACAAATCCGGCCTCCGAAACAGCTCAGAGAGCGGTACCTAGAATGGGCGGAGAGTTGAGCGAGGAAGTCAAAAGATAGTGGAACACCCAAGACAGTAGCAGCGGAGCAGTTACGCGGAGAGTCTCATAAATCGGTCAAGGCAGCCCCGTCCGAGCACGGGACAAAGCGGGCATTCGAGTTGCACAAGGGGGGACCAATCGGTCCGGACGAACGGACGGTGAAGAGTTCAGAAACCGGCCATGAAGAGGAAGCATGCGGACAATCGGACTAGAATTATAGCTGAAAAGTCAACAGAATTCACAAGCTGTAATTGGCTAAGCTTCCGAAATTACTCTCCCAGACCATATCCGCGCGAGAACTTTGCTCGTGCGCGCAACCGCTCTGCAGCCTCGTACTGACTATAATGTGATAGTGTATACTGCTAATGTTTCGAACTAGAGCACCACTCATTGGCCATAGCTGCCAAAGCAGGGAGTCGAGGGAGGAAGTCGCCTTCGGTACCGAGGAGAAGAGGCAAGGCTAATCTTCGGTGCAGATAAGTTTCTCATGAACTGCTAAGTCGTGCTTCACAGCTCGACTGTTTCATATAATGTAGAGCTTAAAATCCAAGTTGTTACTTCGATCGATAGCACTGTAGATAAGTTACATTTTTAAGGGGCACTAGAAATCTGACACGGAAGGTATCTTGTGCAGAGAGAAGACCCTGTCCTAGTGAGGGCATACTTGTTGGTGATAGACATGATTTATTCATTCTCTCTGTAAGAGAGGTCCATAGAATGTAATTCAGACCCAACCGAAATTCCCGCTTCTAGGAGCGTTTGCGCGCATCGCTGGCGATGATTCCCTCACGACCTCACGTCTGGCGGGGGCGTGCCCATACTGTATAAGCCTTGAACAGATACTACAATCAGATATACCTTCTCTTGCAGCCATACAATAAAGGCGTTCAACTCTTCTCTCTGTACATAGTTTTCCTCCTTCACATTAAATCTCCACTGAACCACCGCAAGGTGACATAAAAAGGGGTCCATAAACCCTAAGTCTCTAGTCACTGTCAACAGCGCTGGTGTACTCAAGTGCGGGCATCCCCACGCGGATGAGCCTTGGGGAAGAGGATGAACTGAGGTAGTGAAAGTTTCTCACACGTCTCCCTAGTCCAAGCACAGTATTCTAGGGCGACCAGTAGGAGCGGAGGTGGAGAAACTTTAGCATTGACTGCTTACGCCTTTATACGCAACCTTTTGTGGGATTTTACAGCTTCTGCGTTGAAAGATAATAGCAGTTCTTTACGTAAGCTGTGAGCAAAAGCTTAACTATTGCTATCAATGGGAAAACTGTTCTCCACGATTTTAATCGACTTTGCATGAAATGTTATGTTCAGTGTTCCGCTTCCTACTTTTGCTGGATAGGAGAGTTTTTGAGCTAATGCCCACTACCACAATATTCACTCTAGTACTGCTACTGAATACTGCTAGAGCAGATATAAGTCATCTAGTCTTATTATTTCCTCTCATCACAAGTTCTACCCGTAGTTATTCAATCGAAAACAGGGTGCCAACGATAGCGGAACTAGCCGTGAGAGTACTGTAATCGCTTGCTGTACGCAATCGCACGGGCGCAGGGTGGGATAAATACGTAACATCGCGTTTCATCGTGGGTCTTCACCATCAACTTTTGAACCGGAATTTTACCGCCATATGTATGCTGCGCGGGAGTTTGAAACGTGCAATTTAACGTTTGCTCTCCCGGCCCGTGATTATGCCTTTCGTTTGTACTTTGCATTTGTTAACACTCAGTTGTAGTTTGAGTCAAGACCGCTAGCTGAGGATTCTGCCATTATTCTGTCATATTTTCTGTTTTACATGCCGTTAATTTGTACTCCTTAAATTTTAGGGCACTGCAGAGTTGGGAACAAATCATATTATTCGCTATATAATCATGGTAACTATCGATGTGAGGGGAGTGCAAATTATGTTCCCGTTTCCTCCATACGAGTGTCAAGTGGCATACATGGAAAAGGTGATCGAAGCAATTGATATGGTACGTTCAGCTGAATGTCTTTCAATCCTTTAGATCTCAATGATCGCATTCTAAGAAATTTGACGCCGCCTTGGAGTCTCCCACGGGTACTGGCAAGACATTATCCTTGATTTGTTCAACTTTGGGATGGCTTCAGAAGCAGAAGATGATGTTTCACGTCTCATTTGAAGATGCTGCTAAAATCGCTTCAGGTATCACATTTGCTATCAAAACCTTGAGCTACCGAATTCAGCTTGTTATCACCCGGGTGTGGTTCACTAGGACAGAAAGCGACTTTTTCGCGTTTCGCAGCGCGAAACATTTTTCGCTGCGGGAACCTCAGGTCCACTGATGATCAGAGTGGACCTGAGGTTCCCGCAGCGAAAAATGTTTCGCGCTGCGAAACGCGAAAAAGTCGCTTTCTGTCCTACCCTTATCACCCTGAGGCTTAGTTGACCTTCGAACCAATCGTGATGTACATGTAAAAAATGCGTTCTGATCACGTGTACGCATTGTCAACACGTTTTAAGTGCAAGTTTTGGTAAAACATCGAAAAGAATGTGATTGTCGGAGTGTGCACAACATCGTTGAAGGAACCGTACAAATGTGTCAGTCGGGAATGGCCAAGTTTCAGCGTTTGTGTGAGCGTGTTAAAGCTTGGCTCACACACAATGGCTCAGTAAGGCTGATGTCAGAGTCCGCGATCCGTCGCAGGTTTCGCTGATTTTCGCGATTTGCGCGATTTGCGCGATTTTCGCGAAT